TATTTCTTGATCTGTTAACCTGGGTATTTTGTATTTTTGTAAATATTTATCTAATTCATTTGTCAATTTTATTGGTATATAATTGGGCAAAATATTTTTAGTAATTTATTTTATTCATTTGTTGTGAATTCTCCTTTTTCATTTTTGATGCTGACAGTTTGGTTTTCTCTTTAAAAAAATTAAATTAGCTAATAATTTATCTATTTTTTAACAACATCTCCTAGTTTTTTTAAGTGTTGGTAGGTTTTTTCCCCTTGCTTTCATTTTTTATTCTCTTTTTGTGATTTTCAGGATTTTCATTTCAGTGTCTAATTGCAAGTTTTTAATTTGTTGGCTTACTAGATTTTTTTTTGTATGCCCAATTCATTCTTTCTCTTTTTTGTTGATGGAAGTATTTAGAGATATAAATTTTCCCCTCAGGAGTGCTTTGGCTGTGTCCCTAAAATTCTTGTATGTTATGTTGTCATTATTTTTAATTAAGTGATCTATTTTTCTATGATATATTTTTGACCAGCCAATTCTTTAGGATTAAGTTATTTAGTCACCAATAATTCTTATCCTTTTTTTGATGGCTCTTAATAGAATATAATTTTTATTGCATTATGGTCAGGTAAGAACATTTAATATTTTTAGCTTTTTGCATTTGTTTGTGAGGATTTTATGACCTAATACATGGTCAGTTTCTGTAAATGTGTCCTGTAAATGTGTCCTATAATTCTAAGAAATATGTATACACTTCTCTGTTCCCATTCCATAATTATTTGAAGTCTATTATAGATAACTTTTCTAAAATTCCATTCTTGTCCTTAACGACTTGTTTACTTTTTTCAGATATGTCTTAGGTCTGAAGTGGGTACATTGAGGTCCACAATTATTATAAGTTTTATTTTATTATCTATTGCTCCCAGTAACTCATTTAGAGTTTCCTTTATTTAGGCCATTAAATTAAGTGTTTGTGCAATTTGGTGTACAATGTTAAATACTGATGTTTATTCATTGTCTATGGTACCTATTCAGGAAAATGTAGTTTGCTTTTGCTGTTGTTGTTGTTATTTTTGCTGTTGCCTTGTCTGAGATCATGATTGTTACCCCTGCCTTTTTTTAGTTCAACTGGAATGTAATAGAATTTGCTCTAGCCACTTTTTACAACTCTGTGTTTTTTGGTTTCATGTGTGATTCTTGTAAACAATATATTGTTAGATTCTTAATGGATTTTTAATCCATTATTCTGTCTTCTATTGTATGAGTAAATCTATCCCATTCGTAGTTGTGATCATTAATTATATATTTCCTTCCATCCTGTTCTCTTATACTTTTCCCCTCTCTTTCCTCTCCATACAACTCTTCATGAAGAAAAAGAGTATGGAGAGAAGGGTAGACTTAGCACCAGTGGTCTAAGGTTAATACGATCAGCTTCTACTCTTCTGCCCCTCTTTTCTTCTCCTTGCCCAGACACAAATCAGAGTCTCACTTTCTTTGCTTTTAAACTCCTCTTCAGGACCCACCCTCCAAGTCTGAAGCTTATTTTGCTTATGCCTAATCTCTCCCTGAGTCAACACTCCCTCTTATCTTCACTGTCCTCATCCCCTCTTATTTCCCTATTGAGTTGAATATATTTCTACACCAAGCTGTTTTTGTGGGTGTTCTACCCTTCTTTGACTGGTTCAGATGAAAGGGAGGTTCAAGTGACCTATTTCCCTCACCCCTTCCTTCATGTATGTATTGTCTTCTACTTGAATACCACAGTTATGTGAGATAAGTCCTTCCACCTTTTCCTCCCTTTCTTTGGTATATTCCTTTCCCTCTTTTCTTTATTCTTCTGAGATCATCAAAACATAACAAAACCCGTCTCCGGCCCTCTGTTTTATTTAACTTCTTCTATGACCCCTATGACATTAGCATTCAGAGGGTACCTGCCTCATCTCCCCCTTTTAGAATGTAAACACTCCATCCTTGTATAGTCCCTTCCAATTGTTTGCTTATATTTATATTTTATATTTCTCTTTACTCCTGTGTTTGCATTTCTAAGTTTCTAATCAATTTTGGCCTTTTCATCAAGAAAGCTGGGAAGTGCTCTATTTCATTAAAGGTCTATTTTCTTCCCTATAAAATTATACTTCGTTTTGCTGGATAAGTTATTCTTGATTATAAGCCTGTCTTTTGCCTTTTGGAATATCTTATTCTGTTCCTTTATTATAGTAGCTGGCAAATCCTGAGTGAGACTGATCATGAATCTTAGGTATTTGAAATTTCTGATTGTTTGCAGTATTTTTGCTTTGACCCAGGAGCTCTGAATTTTGGCTGACATTCCTGGGAGTTTTCATTTTTCAGGAAGTGACCAGTGGATTCTTTCTATTTTCACTTTGCTCTCTGATTCTAATATATCTAGGACCTTTTCATTCCTAATGTATGCTCTTTCTTTTCTTTTCTTTTCTTTTTTTCTCTTTCTTTTCCCTTCTTTCTTTTTCTTTCTTTCTTTCTTTCTCTCTTTTCTTTCTTTCTTTCTCTCTTTCTTTCTCTTTCTCTCTTTCTCTCTCTTTCTCTCTTTCTTTCTTTCTTTCTTTCTTTCTTTCTTTCTTTCTTTCTTTTTCTTTCTTCCTTTCCTTCCTTCCTTCCTTCCTTCCTTCCTTCCTTCCTTCCTTCCTTCCTTCCTTCCTTCCTTCCTTCCTTCCTTCCCTTCCTTCCTTCCTTCCTTCCTTCCTTCCTTCCTTCCTTCCTTCCTTCCTTCCTTCCCTCCCTCCCTCCCTCCCTCCCTCCCTCCCTCCCTCCCTCCCTCCTCCCTTCTTTCTTTCTTTCTTTCTTTCTTTCTTTCTTTCTTTCTTTCTTTCTTTCTTTCTTTCTTTCTTTCTTTCTTTCTTTCTTCTTTCTTTCTTTCTTTCTTTCTTTCTTTCTTTCTTTCTTTCTTTCTTTCTTTCTTTCTTTCTTTCCCATGGCTTCCAGGTATTCCAATGATTGTTAAATTATCTCTTCTTGACCTGTTTTCCACATCACTTATTTTTGAGATAAGATAGCTTACATTTCTTCTAATTTGTTTTGGTCTTTCACTCCTGGCTACTCCACAAACAAGATACTCCATCTCTGAGCTCCTGGCATCTGATTATCCCTCATGCCTGGAATGCTTTCCCTCCTCAACTCCATCTGCTGACCTCCTTGGCTCCCTTTAAGTCTCAACTGGAGTTCCAGGTTTTACAGGAAGCCTTCTCCAAACTTCTTAGGTCTACTGGCTTCTCTCTGTTAACCATTACCTATTTACCCTGTATATAGCTTGTTTGTGCATGTTTGCTTTTTGTCTCTTGTTGTCTAATAGATTGTGAGCTCCTTAAGGGCAGGGATTGTCTTTTCTCTTTGTACGCTCAGCACTTAGCACAGTACCTGGCACATAGCAGGCACTTAATATTGTTTGATTGTTTAATATTTCTTATTGTCTCATACAGTCATTAACTTTTGTTTGCTCTATTCTACTTTTCAGGGATTCTGTTACTTGGATAAGGTTTTGTATCTCTTGAATGAAACTGTTAATTCTCCTACCATATGTTTCCTCTAGAACTCCCTGTTCTTTTCCAATTCTTTCCTCTAAAACTGTCTTTTCCTTTAAAATATCTCTTTTTAACTTTTTTGCCTCCTTTGTCTTATCTCATTTCTTCTAAGAATTCTAGCTGACCTTGTAGACAGTCTCTGTGTTTCTTTAGGCTTTTCTTGTAAGTGTTTTGGAGGTATTCCTTTGAGTTTTTGTCCTTGGTCCGCAATAACTACTTCCAGTGTCTTTTTGTTTGTGTATTTATTAATTTTTCAATTTTTACTTCCCAAATTGGGACTTTGCATTAGGGGGTGTGGTTCTGCTACTTCCCTCCCCATGTCTTGAGTATTGTGTTGTTCAAGGACCTCAGAGATGGCTTAGGCCATGGAGTCGCAAGCTTTCAGGGGACCCTGAGCAGTCTGATTTAATTACTGCCTTTTTGGTCTGACTGTGGCAGCTTCTGGATCCTACTTTAAGTCTGCACATGGTAAGTGCAGTCTTGCCCATAGTTAGAATGCCAGTTGACAATTACTAGCTCCAGTTCCTGTCTACTAGTTGGGAGTCTCTGTAGGTTCAGAACCACAAAACTCTAGGCTCACTCTTTGTCCAAAGTTCCTGCTTCTGTTACTCAGCTGCAAGCCCCAACTCAGATCTTTGGGCTAAGTCTGCAATCCTCCTCCAGGATCAGAGCAACAGAGCTACAGGGCCCACCTCTGGTCACAATTACTCTTCCGTTTACTCTCCCCAAATCTGAGATCTTGTTCTGAGGTCAGGATGACCTTGCTTTGAGCCCATGACTCATCCCTGTCCTTGCCCTGATTATTCACCTGTGAGCTGAATTTGCAGTTTTGGCCTGGGGAAAAAAATATCTTTGGATTCCTGATGGCTGTTCAGGCTGGTGCTGTTTCCTCTTGCTTTGTTAGAATAACTGCTTCTTTCTATTCCACCACCTTTGCTGATCTCCATTGCAATTGATTCTTGCAATAAGCTTATACGATAGGTCAGGCAAATATTACTGTCCTTATTTAAGAAAGACAGTTATCTATTCTCTGTGCTGATCATCATGATTGTCTATGCTCTGGGATAGCACAGATGCAGGAGGTCCAGCCTCAGTGTCTGAAAGTTTGGGTGGAGTAAAACACAAACAAAAAACCAGACTGTGGATTTCAGAGACAGTCTGTAGTTCTCAGGTCTGTGGGCCTCCCAGTCTTTGAGCTCTTCATGTTAGCATTTGCTGACTCTTCCACCACTAACTTTGAACTCACTCACTGATTTAAAATACAGATTCACAGCTTGTCGTTAAAAGATTCTTGTATCTGACCCGCATCTGGTTTGTAACCTTTCATGCTGTTTGCCCTCCTCAGTCGTCACTCTCCTCCCTCCCTCAATAATTAGCCTGCCTTCAACCAAGATTTTGAGATTGAAGCCTTCGTAACAACTTTCAATGGCAGGAAGGTCTGGACTCCAAGAAGTCAAAATAAAGTAACAAAAATTTGAAATGTTTAATTTATTGCAATGGGGGAAACACATGAAGAAATCCTTAGTTAATAGACAAAACACAGAAATATCAACAAATCATTTTTTGATGTAATAGCTGACATTACTTTAGCAGGGATTATGGGTTTTGCACCCCAGCTATGCACTCCACTGAAATTCTCATTTTCTGCTAAAGGAATTGGACTGATTGGCTGGTTGGTGAGAGTATGATCAAACAACAAACAAATTATTCCAGAAGTATTTTGGGGAAGTCAGTATGGCCCTCTAAAAAGGGGGCACTGAGCATAAGCAAAGCCTCCCCTCTCAGAATAAGAGCCCACAGCATCTTCCTTCTCAGCTATGGCCCTCTAGTCAAAGGGGAGTAGATGGTCATGATGAGGATCTGGTGAATTTGGTGCTGGAACTCTGCTCAGACTGTCTTTGGCTGGGTTTGGATAGCTAGCGAGGCATTCTTGCATTGAACATCTTCAATCTTTACCCTAGGTAAAGTGGCCTAGGTGTGAGGGGATAAGGAGTATTTGGGGGCTGGTTGGGACAGGCTGGGTAATATTGAAGGTAGAGGGCTCGGATTAGTTGGGTGGGCATTTAGGAGAAAGATGGAGAAAGCCTGGGACATTTCAGACTCCCTCCTTTTGTTCTGCTTAGAATAGGGCCAGGCAATTCACATCCAGATACCAAACTGATGCTTTGAACCTTTGTACCCCCAGTGCCTAGCACAGTGTCTGGCATATAGTCAGTGCTTAATATATGCTTGAATGAATGAGTCAACATTGGTTTGAAATGTTGAACAAACGAGTCAGCTTGGACTGTTAGCTTCAGAGGCTCTCTTGGCCTTCAGCATCTGCAAAGCCCTCCTAGGCATTGGTACTTGTGTTACTACCTTAAGGGATGTGGTGGGAGGAATGAGAGCTTTATTCACAGTGACCTCCAACAAATGCTTCACCAACTACTTAGGTTAGAGGATGAGGCAAAGCAAGGCCAAGAGAAAAGGCAACTGGAGAGCTAAGTAGCCAATTCAGGAAAGTGATAATTGAAGGATTCATGTCCATAAGGAAGAATTAGAGAAGGGTTTCCAGCGGTGAAGCATGTTTCCATGGTTGTGATGTCCCTCTCTCCAACCGGATAGCTCCGGTCATATCCCAAGAGATTGGCTGTTTTTCTCAATCTGGCAGTTCAGGGTCAATGCAAAGGACATCCCCAGCACCTGAGAGGATAGGTCAAAACTGAGGTCTGCCTGGAATGAGCCATCTTTCTTGTACACACTTCATGATGAACCCGAGGAACACCAGCCCCACTCTATCATTTCTGCTGTCCTAAGTGGGTCTTTTCTCCCAGCTAGGTGTGAGAGGCTTACGGAAAAGGAAAAGAGGGGCTCCATAGGATAGGACATATTTTATGTGCCCGTAGTGTCATACAGAATCTGAGGTTACGTAGATGGCCCTCAAAGCAAACCCTGAATTTGATATCTTGTCTGGTGAGCCTTCCTTACCCACCTCTCCAATTGCAAGATAAAAAAACCTGGTCTCCCTTGAGAACTTCATGAAATGATCTCAGCCCCAACAATCACACGTGGGGTTGAAAAGGGAAAGGTTGGTGCCTCACATGAAAAGAATGGGCTACTGAAGCATAAATTCATTTCAAGTGTTTCCCACAGTGAGAAAAATAGATTGAAGAAGTTGGTTACAATTATTTTTGCTTTTTTTCTCTCTGAGTGTGAGAATCCCTCTTCTTAGAGAGGCAAATCAAGATCCTGCAATCATAGCTTTAGACCTGGAAAGGACTTCGAAATCACTGGGTCCAAACTTCTCATTTTACAGTTGAAGAAGCTGAGATTAAGTGAAAAAGAGATATCAAGTGACTTGTGTAGGGTCACACAACTAATGAGTGTCTAAGAGGCAGGGAGATTTGACCAGGTCTTCTTGACTTCAAGTCCATTATCCTATGCACTACACCAGAATGCCTCTCAAGACTTTGAAGGAGGCCCCTGGATTTGGACCACAGAACTCTTCAACGCCAACAACCTGTATTGTCAGAGCAGAGGTGGAACGAAGGCTCAGTGCAGGGGCTTTTGGTTGGACGACTTATTTGGCTCAGAACACCTGAGGACTAGGAAGGACAGGTTACCCAGCTGATCCCTGTTCTGAAATTGCCAGAGACCAAGTCAACAACCAGGTTTCTTGGTGTCTGGCTGGTGGGCGGGAGGATCTGGTACTTGCTCTGATTTTCCCCACTTCCTAAACTGGGGAAAATTGGAGTGAGCTAAGAGATAGATAGCAGAATGATACAGCGAGGTTTCATTTAGACTTGTCCTGGAAATAGTTAGAATTCTTACCTGGATGACACATACACTGATGATAAGAATTCCAATATACAAGAAATTTGAATGAAACCATATTTTTGCTTTCATGTAGCATCCCTAGGAAAAACAGAAGATAAAAATAATGATGGGGACAGGGCTTATGATTTCAGTGACATAGGATACTCCCATATCAGGAAACTCATTCTACCAATGCAGGTCAGCACTTTTCTCTGCAACTTGAAAGTCCTAGAGAGTTGTTTAGAGCCTTAGGAAATTGAGTGATTCAGCTAGTAGGGTCACTCAGCCAGTACGTGTCAGAGGCAAACTTGAACCTAAAGCTTCTGAGCTCCAAAACCAGCTTCCTTTTCTCTACACTCTGCTTCGTGTCAAAAATAAGGATATCATTATGGTAGCTGGTTTTGCAGCTGTCTGGAAGAACCGTCACACTTTCCCTTACCTATGAAACACACGTGTTTTTCTCCCCTGTCACTTCTTGCCTAGACTACTGCAACAAGGGACTCCTGATCTTTCCCTTCTCCTGTCTGTCCTCCATACAAATACCAAAGTCATCTTCCCAAAGTATAAGATAGCACATCATCCCCTGGCTTCCTTTTGTTTCTGGGATAAAAGAAAAACTCAGCTTTGTGATTTAAAGCCCTGACCTTCCCAGGCTAACTCCAGCCTGTCTCTTGGGGTTTCTTCACCCACACCCTTTCATGCACCCTGTATTCCAGCCAAACTGACCTCCTTGGTTTTTCTCATCTACCACCACTGCACCTTTGTGTAAGCTGTGTCCCACTCCTGGGATGTCTTCCCTTCTTACCTCAACCTCTTAGAATTCCTCCTTTCCTTCAAGATTCAGCACAAGTTCTGCCTCCTTTTGAGATTCTCTCCTGAGTTTCCTGAGTTTTCCTGAGACCTTCTGTTTTACAAATAATCAGGCATATTCTTGTCTGTTTTGTCTTTGTATTTCCAGTGTCTCACACATAGTAGGTTTGAAGTTTCTTAGCTTGGACTAGATTGGATAGAGAAACTGAAGCATGGGGTGGAAAGCGTCTCAGCCTGTCCCAAAGGCCAGAAAAGATTAGAGACTCTCTTACTGCCTTGGGAGTGGTAGGACAGTGGGAGGAAGGAAGTTATCCTGGGGAAATGCTGCATTCTGATCTGGGCAGAGGGTGGGTGGGAAGTATGCTCCTTCTGCAGGTCCAAGACAACTCTAGTGGGAACACAGTTTGCCAACCTGCCTCATAATTGCATATTGGAATCTTCAGGAAGACACGAACCAAACTTGGATTCCCCCTTCACTGAAAGGTGGTTGTGGAGGAGGTCTAAGGGGGGGCCTTACTTTGGTCTATCCCTTGACTCCTACTTCTGAACAGGAGAGGTCATACTATAGGCTCAGAAGTGTTGAGACAAAGCCCCGTTCCTCTTCAGACCAATCTTTTCCTTCTAATTTTATTATTTTTGTCATTTCAATAGGTCAAGAATCTGTGATTTTGTGGATGAGGCTGATGTAAATTCACCTCGAACATGTAGTTTTAGAGGACTGTCTAAAGCTCAGAGAAATTAAATTACATGTCTGTGGTCACAATGCTAGTAAATGTCAGAGGTGGGATATGAACTCAGGGCTTCCTCACTCCAAATCCAGCATGCTTACCCATCATGCCGTGCAGTCTGTCAATCATCATCACTAATGACAATGATAATTCATATTTATAAAGCACCTTAAGGTTTACAAAGCACTTTACTTACCACAGTCTTGTGTCACAAGCATTTATTAAGCACCTCGTGTGTTCATGTAAACCAACTTTATAAGTGAAGAAACCAAAGCGTAAGGAGATTGAATGACTTGCTTTTGATTAAAGTACTGATAAAGGGGCCTAGCTGTGTACCTCAGGTCTTTCCATCACTCTAGCACCAACACTGAGTAGGTCTATTATTAATCTTCTGCTTCATTTAGCTAACTGGTAATATCATAGGTCTGTTCGTCCCCTGTTATGCCCCTTTACCTAAAGTCTTCTGTCTCTAGCTTGGAACATTGTAACCTCACATTACTTGACAGTTTCCAAAGCAATCATGCTTTTCGCAAAAGAAACAAACAGGATAGTCATCGCCTGGATTACCTGAGTATTTGGATCAGTGGGGCAAGATACTGGGGGGTGGCCATTCCAGTCGCTTGTGCCATTTACACCACAACACTCTAGCTGAAATACAAACCCAAAGAAGGTCATTTGTAAGGAGTTAGTGGCTTAAGAAATATAAATGACTAAACCCCGTTCCTTAGAGAGAAAGATAAAGCTTTGGAGCCTGCCTCCAGAGAAGTTGGCCACTGGCTGTCTGGGCTAATAAAGGGATTCTGACTGACATTGGTCATGGTCAGGCTCATGGGCTGGGTCATGGGTTCGACTCAGGGGATAGGGCAGACGTGGTCTGCCTTAAACATTGCTCCTGCCCTTGCCTTTGGCTCAGTTCCACCATCATTCTTGACAGCTGCCTGCTGTCCTGATCAATATCAGACAGGACCAGAGAGTAGGCATTGATCATCATACATGGGATATACCTAGGTGTGGCAGGGCAGGATCTTAACATTGAATTCCTGTGTTCCATTTTCAGATAAACACAGGCCAAATCTAGAAACAATAACAACAACAATAGCTAGTGTTCCCATAGTTCTTTAAAGTTCACAAAATATTTTATGTGGATATTATCTCACATAACCATCACAACAGTCCTGTGAGGTGGGTACTGCAGGTATTATCTCCATTTTACAGATATAAATTAGAAGCTCAAAGAGGTTAAATCTCAGAATGACTGACTTGCCCATAGTCACACAGCTAATCTTTGTCAAAGGTAGGATTCAAACCAGGTCTTCATGACTCCAAGTCCATTATTCTCTGTACAATATCATGCAACTATATGCTAAGAGAAGTACTATGATCTCCTAATTCCAGGAAGCAAGCCTCAGGCCGTTCTGAGAGTTGGGGTGGACAGAAAGTGGAGAGAAGTGAATACCAGTGAGGCTCTTTTCCCAAGTCTCCAGTGTGCCAACTCAGAGTGCTTCAGTCCATAGTCTCCTGCCTTGGGCCCCACTGCTCAAGCAAACCTGCCCGGAGATGATGTAGACTTGACTTACATACTTCTGGATTCCATCCCATGCCGTCTTGGTGTTGTTATCAGAGTTGTAGCGTTGGATACTCTGGCTCAGGTCATTGGCCACATAATCATCTATCTAAGTGATCCAGAAGGGAAGATATCAGGAAGCAGAAGTTAGATCATTGAAAGAGTTTTTTAGGGGACAAAGTTGGAGCCTAGTTTAGGCAAATGTTTTCTTTCCATTTTACTTCTACTTCCCCTGTAATCTTTCTTTCCAGAGCTAGAGAGAATGCCAAAGATAAGAGAGTAGAGTGTATGTCTTGAGTATATTTGATTTACTGGCAGTTAGTTAAGAGGCTTTAGTTTAAAAAGATTTTTAAAAAGTGACCAAAATATTAAAGCAGTTTAGGCATTGAGGTACTGGTCTTTGGGTCATGTCATTTTATTTCCAGGAAAAACTATTCAATCCTGTCACACAGACTTATGTAACTGCATTAGCATTGACAGTTGAGATTGTTTTCAGCAGATGCTAGATGATAATTGCTCCTGCATGCTCAGAAGGATGACTGATATCAATCAGCTTATGGAAATCCAGGACCCAAAAACCTCGGCATGACTATTTACTTCATACACACAAAAATCAAGATATTTCCATGTTATAAATGATGCAGAGGATAGCATTCCCCATTACATACCTTCTGTTCATACACAAAGAGCAGGATGGCCATGGTCACCTCAATCAAAAGGATGAACAGGAGCAGGACAAAGAACTACCAGGAAAAGAGAGAACAAGGTCACTTTTGGGGACAAGATGGCACCAGCACCAGTAGGACATGTTGTTCTTAGCGGTGGATTGGGCAAGAGGATGCCCGACATCCCTTCACACTCTGAGATTGATGATTTTAAGATCTAGTCATTCCATGAACTATCTTTCCCTATGTGCATTTATTTAACCCTGTATTGATCCACTCTGTCCCGCCCAGTCAGTGTTTATGTGCACACTTTTGTTCATCTCAAGCTGTACATTTATTTAGCTATTTCTTTGTGTTTGTCCCATATTCCATCTTGAAGGCAGGGACCTTATGTTGTTCACACCGGGAGTGTTGAATTAACAAACCAATCATGCTGACTAGTTAGATGCGGCTGATTTGTATTTCTCTACATTTGGGGAGGTTTTGTGTCTCTCATATGAGCTTGTGTGTATGTGATTGAGACAGAGAAAAGGGGGAGAGGGGGGGGAGAGAATGAGAACTCTTTATTGGACCAGGAGCTCTGAAGAACAGGAATTTCTATCCTCTCTCCCATGCATGGCTGTAGTCAAAGACTTGGCAGGGGGTGGAATGACTGGTTGAATAACAGATCTCAGAGGAAGCACAGGATAATTAGGCAATTTTAGCCAGTTGCTTCACACCATGGTTTGAGTGGTCCCTGTGCACAGTGTTCTGTGTGGGGAGATAGAGAAAGAACTACAGTCTGTTCTCAGGGAGCTCCTAGTCGTATCTAGAGGGTGAAATAGCTGATCACTACCAGGAATTCTTTTATTAAACCTTACTGGTATACTAAATCAGTCAAAAAGTCTTTATTAAATACCTAATTACTATGTGCCAGGCCCTAGGGGCACAATAATAAAAATGAACAATTATATAAAACTGATTGCCCATAGTAAAGGGCGGATATTAAGACATATGGGACAGAAAATTCTTCCCTACCAAACGAGCAGAATCACAATGTCCAAAGGACGCTAGGTTCTCTATCACAAGTACTGACCTCGATCCAGCTTCCTGAATAGGGCAAGGAAAGTCTCCATATAATTTTTTTGTTCAGCTATTTCAGTTTTATACTGGAATAGTCTGCCATTTTCTTTTCCAGCTCATTTTACAGATAAGGAACTGAGACAAATGGGATTAAATGACTTGCCCAGGGTCACACAGCTAGTAAGTATCTGAGGCTGGATTTGAACTCAGGAAGTTGAGTTTTTCTGACTTCAGGCTTGGAGCTCTATTCACTGTGCCACCTAGCTGCCCATATAAAGCTAGGTTAAAAAGACAAAGTTTCTTCAGTCTGGAAAGACTTGCAGAGAGGGGATGTCAGTAAGGCTTATAAAATGAACGTTCATCTTAGGATGAACCTAGATTCATATGCCAAATCCTGAAATGCTAGAACACACAGTGGCCCCTTGAAACTTGGGGGAAAAAAATAAAGAAAAGGAAATATTTAACCTTAGACAACAGTAAATCATTTACAACAGTAAATATTTGGGATTCATTACCCAAAGAAGTAATATAAGCTGAAAATATAAAGAGGGTCAAGAGGGGTTTAGGCATATTTGTGGATGACAGATGTATAGAAGATTAGTAAAGGACTCCATGTCTCTAGAACTACATCTCCTACTTCGAGGTTGCTGGTAATGTCAGCATTCAGGTAGGCCACATTTCTGACTTAGAATAGTATCTCAGATGCTTTCTAAAAGTATTTAAGCCTGGCCAGACTCCCCATATCCATTTATTGAACCCTAAGAAGCATCTCAATTATTCCACATGACATCAGTCCCCCATGGCTGATACTCACCGACATGAGAAGGCACTTGTTTTCCTTAATTGAGCCCATGCATCCAAGGAAGGCAACCACCATGATGATGGATCCTACAATGATGACAACATTGCCCACGGTGAGGGAGGGAAGAGTGTAGAACAGGGCTCCAAAACTATTTTTGATCAGGAAATAGATCCCAAAGCCCAAAATGGTACAGCCACAGACCTGAAACAAGCAAGAGCAGAGATACCCTTGAGGACAAGGGGATGGCCACCAGTGATCTTCTTAGGCTCTCTCTTGACTGGAGCCTAGAGCTACCCTTGTGCCCCCAAGGTGTTCTTGCCACCAAGGATCTGGTTAGTGACTCCAAGGCCTCAGCCTCTCACATGCTAGAGGGGATGGAGCATCGAGAGAAAGGAGGATTGAGAGAAACTTTTCAGGTGAAAGTTTTTACCCAACATCCATCCAAAACATCCTAGAGAGCAGGGCAGGCTTGATCCCCATAAAACCCCTCCATTTCCAGATACTGGCTTTCCTAGAACTGCAAATTCACTCTCCTTGAAGTACCCCCTATGATGTCTTCCTTTAGACACCTTGATTTGAGACAAGCAAAGGTAGAAAACTCCTCATCTAGCTCTTCCTACTATGTAGACATTTTGAGAACCCAAGGTACCAAGTAGCTTCCCACACAAAGACTATGTTCAAGTCTCTTTGGGCTTTGATCACTGAGTCTAACACAGTGAAACCTTTCAGGACTGGATGACTTACTTTTGCTTTCAGTCACTCATTCAAGGGGGAATGGTTCCTACCAAGGATTTCATTCCTGAGTCTGTGGCTCTTAAGCTGTGTCCCATAGCAGAATTAGAGTAGCAGAAGTGAAGGGAAATGGGATTAATTCTCCAAGTCTTTTGAGATCGTGGGGTGATCCAATTATTAACACCTTTACTGATTTGGGGGCTACATTGTGGCATGGAGGGGAAAGAGGTGGGGAAAACTGCTCTCTCTCAATCTCTGTCTCTGTCTCTCTGTCTCTGTCTCTGTCTCTCTCTTTATGAATTACTGGTATGCTGGGTGGAATATTTAGAGCTTTTTTTTTTTTTCAGGATGATGAGAGAGGAGTGAAGCAGAGTCACTTTACAAAAGGAAGCCAACCCAACCAATAATGCTTACCCAGAACAGTAGGTTGAAGAAAAATACCACATATTTCAGCACTTTCAAGCTACTCATGCCCATGCTGGGGCGGTCTTGCCCTAGAGTAGGGAAATTGGGAGGAAGAATCAATCAAATAATCAACAAACATTTACTAAAGGCTTAGTATGTGCCAGGCACCGTGTTACAGACCAAGCAAAAAGAAAGGCACTCTCTACCCTCAAGAAGCTTAACATTCTAAGGTGGGAAGACAACACAGAAAAGGGAGCTGAAAGGGGGAAGGGAGTACCTGTGGGGCATAATGGTGAAGTACAAGGAACGAAGGATGACTGGTCTGGGCCCTTCCTCAAAATGTACATTCTAAGAGGAACTCACTGATGGGACAAATAGGCTTCAAAGATGGAAGAACAAGGAAGCTGAGGCATGGTGGCCAAGTGCAGGGAACAAAGGAACCTCAGCTCTATAGAATGGCTTTATGTACTTTGGGATATTCAATTTCCTGATACTGAGGAATCTATTCCAGAGAGATAAATCTTCCTTGGACCTGAGTTATCAGTCTAGTTCATAAGTATCTCCTAACTTCCAGGTTCTCCAAGCCCCTGAAATCAAGGACATGTCACAATGCATTTAGACTCAGAGAATAATAGGATTGCAAGGAAATCTCAGAATTTTCTAGTTTAACTCTTACCCAAAAGCATGAATTCCGTATGTTATATCCTTAACTTTAGTGACAGGGGACTCACTACCTTCCAAGTTAGCCTGTTCTGTCTTTGGGCAACTCTAATTATTATCATAAGAAACTCTTTATATAGTCAATCTGATTTTTTTTTAAAGACTATGTCTTCTCATCTCACCCAGGTTAGAAGAATAGGAGCTACTCAAGGTCTCAATACCACTGTTAATCAAGATGGAGGCTTTGGCCTATTCCATTTGTAACCTAGGCCATTTTGACCTTTCTTAGATGTGGTGGCACCACATCTCTAGGGGCTGATCATGTTGTTGCTGAACTTAGTGTGACCAGCACAGCCCACTGCAGCTCAAGAGAGATCTGCCAGTCTCAGCCTTCCTGGCAGTTGGGTTTATGGGTGACTATCACCATGCCCAGCCAAACTGACTCTGTAACTTCTTCCTCTGTTCTGCCACCTTAGCCAAAGCAGAACAATTCTGATCCCTTTTCCAATGACAATCTTTCATATATTTAAAGATAGATATCATGTTCTGTCCTCTCCTTACCAAGTCTTCTTTTCTCTAGGCTGTACACCCATGTAACCCTTAGTTGGGAATACAGCAATAAGAATTACTCTCAAAACCAAACCAAACAAAACCAGGCTTCTGAATTTAGGTGCTTGGAAACCCATCATCCTTTCAACAAATACTCTACTGTATGCTCAGCCCAGTGAATCAGGGTGTTTGCTATAGGGCCACAAATTTGGGTGTCCCCATACTCACATGGGAGGTTTGGTGGAGAATGGAGAAATAAAGAGGGTAGACAAGTCTGGGAAGAAGGTGATAGGTTCTACCACCTGGTTCTTTGAAAGTCCTTAGATGCAGATACATAAAACCAGCCAACAAACTCTGATTCCTTCCCTCCACATCAAAGTGGCTAAGATTGTCTCTGCCCTCCTACTTTTTAGCTACCCTTATCCTCTCTACTTCGCTCTCATGTTACCACAAGCCTCCCACCCCACTCTCATACCCAGGCTGGCACAGTCCCACAGGGCTTCCTGCTCCAAAACAGCAGCTTCATTTGCCCAAATGAGTACTAACATGGATCTATAGGTACTATCAGAAGACAGATCACCCAGGAGGGGACAGAGGAAGAAATGATAAATAGTGGCAGTTGGTTAGTTTTTTCTGAGTAATGCCAAGGCAGCTTTTTGTTGATGTGATATCAATAGTAGGGACACTGGCTATTTGCCTAGGGCATATGTACTCACAATATGATGGAGAGCCTCCAAAGACTTGTCAAACCAGCATGTCTGGTGATTCACATGGGAATGAATGATATTACTAGAAAGAACCAGGAAAGCATTGCTAGAGATTATGAAGTAGCAGCTGTCAGTGAAAGAAGTGTAGAAATAGAGATTCCCAATAATTTGCAGAAGAGAAAAAATGTAAGAAAGAAGCTATTGAGATAGGCTTAGGAACCTCTTCAGTGTAGAGGGGGCTTTAATATTAGGATAGGGTTACTATCTTAAGCCTTCATTATAGGCACAGAATTTGGAATCAGAATCTGAATTCCAGCTCTGGTGTTTACTATCTGTGTGACCTTAGATGAGACGTCTCATTTCTCTGGCCTTCAGTTTGCTCATCACTAAAATGAGGGAGCTGGCCTAAAAGATCCCAAATATCCCTTCCTGCTTTATATGCTCTGATACTATGATTATGATCCCAGAAGTCAGCAGTAAACACTAATTGCCCTACTCTTTACTGGTTAGAGGAAGCCCTTATTTGAAGGAAACCTTCACAAAATTGAAGCCTGGAGAATATAATAGAAATGAAGTATGTCATGTTTGGCCAGGGACAGAACAATGTGACCACATTATGAGACAATTGCTTTTGGCTGGACTGAGACAAAGAAATGGACAGGCTGGCAAGGTACCTCCATATATTTGTGGAGGGCGTCTGTCAGTATGGAATATCTCCACTGGGACCAAAGGAGCTGAGTTGGACTTAGTGCTCACTGAATGGCCAGTAAAGCTGTACCAATTGCTTACATCATGAAGTGTGCAAGGTGCTCAGAATTTCCTAGCTGATAGGGGTTGCTAAAAGTAAGTGAAGCCAGAGACATATAGCCTTAAGTTTATATACACACATGCATAAAATGTAGGTAATAAGCAAGGTGGATTAAAATTTCCAACTTTTATAGATATCACTGAAACTTGGTGAGATGGAACTTATTATTTGAATGTGGCTCTGGAAGAATATACCCTATTCAAAAGGAGCAGAATATCTTAAAGGGAAGAGGTGGTGAAGAAGTGATGCATACTTATGTTATACTTAATTACATACTTATGGAGAGGTGGAGCCAAGATGTCATGAAAAGGCAGGGACTCACCTGAGCTCTCCCACATTTCCCCTCCAAACAACTTTAAATATCATCTCAAAACAAATTCTGGAGCAGCAGAACCCACAAAAGGAGGGGGTGAAACAATTTTCCAGACCAAGACAACATAGAAGGTCAGTAGGAAAGGTCGGTCTCGCTGAGGTGAGAGTGGAGCACAGTTCAGCACAGGCTGCACCAGCTGAGACTGGGCCCCAGCATACTAGCAGGAAGCTTTGGGGCTGATTGAATCAGTGGCAGCAGCGGCATCTTCCAAACCTCTCAGCCCACAGATGGTACAGAGGTTGAACGACTGGTCAGAAGGAGGTTCCAAGGGTCCCTTTGTTGGCACCAGGGGCACGACTCAGCTGCACTGCCCATACTGGGTCTCTGTCGAAGTCTCGGGTCTCAGTCCCAGAGCAAGGACGAACACCAGCACTCCAGAACTTGTGGCCACAGTGGAACAGGGACTCTGGTTACAGTTGCAGTGCCGAAAAGAGTGTTTATGATCTCTCATGGGCCAGTACACAGGCCAGGAGAGGAATGAGCCTACCTCTCCCTAGATCATGAAGCCTTGAAAACCCGAAAACTTGTAGGTCTCCAGAATTATCTCTGAAAGCAGCTGCACAAAACCCCTGAATCTTAGGACAGTGCCCCTTCCACCCCAGAAGAGGAGCCCCACTTTAGCACAGAATTAAAGGTCAAGAAATAGGCTGGAAAAAAATGAGCGAACAACAGAAAAAAAAAGATCCTGACCACAGAAAGTTACTATGTTGACAGGGAAGATCAAAACACAAAGTCAAAACTGCTATATCCAAAGCCTCAAAGAAAAATATAAACTGGTCTTGGGCCGTAGAAGATCTCAAAAAGGGTTTTAAAAATCAAGTAAATGAGGTAGAGGAAAAATTGGGCAGATACATGATAGTGATGCAAGAAAATCATGAAAAAATAATCAATACTTTAGTAAAGGAGGCACAAAAAGGACTGAAGAAAATAACACCTTAAAAACCAGAATAAGCTAAATGGTAAAAGAGGCAAAAAAATCCAATGAAGAGAAGAATTCCCTGAAAAGCAGAACTGGCCAAATGGAAAAAGAGATACAAAAATTCACTGAAGTAAACTCCCTAAAAAGTAGAATTGGCCAAAAAAAAAAAAGGAGGCACAAAAGCTTACTAAAGAAAATAATTCCTTAAAAAGTAGCATTGGGCAAATGTAAGCACGTGACTTCATGAGACATCAAGAAACAAGAAGACATATATAAGGAGATCTAGGGACCAGAGAGAGGAAGCAAGATGGAGAGAATTTAAGCTCAATGGAAAGAGAAACAAACAAACAAACAAACAAACAAAAATACTGTTCTGTGCTCACTCAGAGGAAAGAGATGTTTCATCAAGAAATCACAAACTTGCTACAGAGGTTATGTTTCACTTTAAGTTTTTGGACATCTTCTGGCACTCTATGCCAAAAGCAGATAAGCTGATAGATTTTTGGCCAGCTTTAATTTCGTTCTTTCAAAAGTAGATAAATTGAGGAAGGGAGAAGCTATTCTAAAGCTAATTCTGACTAACAGAAAGGAACTGCCTATCAAAGAAGGAATGATGGCAACTTTGTGGGAAGCAGATTGCTCCACCTTAGAATTCATGATAGAAAAAGAGAGCAAACCTGGGCAAAGGTTGGCAATAAATTTCAAAAAGTTCAGAGAAAGAATAGGTAGGATGTTATGGTAGCCCAAGAGGGATGAGAAGCTCAAGTCTTGGGATGCCAAGAGAAACAATTCCAGTCCTTTGTGCTATTTTAACATTTTTATCAGTGACTTACTTGGACGAATGATGTGCTTATCAAATTTTCAGGTGACACGAATCTGGGAGAGATGGTAAATATATTGGATGACAGGATCCAAGACGATTAAGAGGCTGGAAGAGTGGAACAAATTAAATATTAAGATAAAATTTAATGTGGCTAGATGTAAAGTTGTATACTTGGGTTCAAAAAAATCAACTTCACAAATACAAAATGGGAGAGGGGTGTCAAGACAGCAGTTCATCTGAAATAGAGCTGGGGGTTTCAGTGGTCTGAAAGCTCCAAATGAATTAACAGTGTGACAATGAGTGGCCAAGAAAGCTAATTTGATCTTAGGCTTTATTGAGGGGGACATAGCATCCACAAATGAAGAAATGATGATCATTGAGTCAGTCAGGTCAATAAACAAGCATTGGTTAAATGCTTGCTATGTGTCAGGCATGGTGCTAAGTGCTCAGGTTACAAAGGAAAGCAAAACCACAGTCTCCCCTCTCAAGAAGTTCACATTCAAATGTGGAAGAGACAACATGCAAATAATTATGTCTGTACAAGGTGTCTACACAGTGGTTACACTTTTCCTCATTCCCTGAGTCACTGGTCAGAGTGGAGGAGTTGAAACATTCCTTTCTCTCCATGGCTGACTCCAGGCTCCCCCTCCGTCTCCTTGCCCAAGCAACCTCTCCTCTTTTGAGGTTCACTTCATCCATATTTACCACCCAGTCAAAATTCTGGGAGCTACTGTTTATTGACTTCCATAACATTCTCCTTTCCTCACTGGGTTTCATGCCTGGTTCAGTCTGCCTCCTATTCCATTCCTGCTAGGGATATGCTAGAGGTCTCGAAAATACATATCAATATTCCATCAGCACCCTAATCTCACAATTCCTTCAACTTCCTCATTTCACGTGGTCTCCTCCTTAACCCCACCTCAGCCACACACATCTAAAGATGGTCATACTCTTGATCTTGCCATCACCTGCAAATGTGCCACTTTCATGTTCATAAATTCTCAAATCCACATATCTGATTCATTTGTCATTCCATTAAAACACCAAACCCTGTTCTTTGTCCAGTCCCTTTATCCCTTCACTTCTTTCCAAGGCCCTTGCACTGGCTACAGTCTCTTCACTTCTCTATCTTGACCCAGTTCAATTTTACAGCATCTTCTTGAACCCCTTTCCTCTTTATTATATCAGGGACCGAGCCTCAGCCTTGGATGACTCCCACCACCACACATGTGCCGCTCAACAAAGCTGGATAAAATCATGAAATCATTCTGACAACACACCACAGATTTATGCTTCAGCACTTCAGCTGGGCCCTTGCTACAGTGAGGCCATTCTTTTACACCTCCCTTATGAATCCACTATCCCACTCTCTACAGCAGCTCTTCTAAATCTTTACAACCCTCCCCAAATTTTCCACAGCTCCTCCTCCCTGCACCCTCTCAGCTGAGAAGCTTCATGGAAAAAAAACAAGGTTATTCATCAAGAGTTCTTGGTAAAAAGCTCTCCCTTCTCTCCTCCTCTCCCCCTCATGTCACCCAGATGCCTTCTCCCACTGTCTCACATGAAGACAAAAGTGAAGCCACCGCCTCGCAAAGACAAAGCCCTCTACATGCACAGGTGATCCCATTCCAGCTCGTCTTCTCTAGCAGACTGCTCCCTCTGTCATTCTGTCCTTGTCTGCCGACTGCTTCCCTACTCCCTATAAAATGTCATCCTCAAAAACCTCACTCGGTCCATCTATCCCCAGTAGCTAACAACAGCAACGAGTTTAGTGAGGATGATTATAATAATAGCTAGCGTTAATACAGCACTTACTGTATGCCAGGCACTGTACTAAGTGCTGATCCTCAAAACTCCTAGGAGGTAGGTGCTATTATTATCCTCATCTGATAGTTGAGGAAACTGAGGCAAAGGATAAATGACTTGCCCAAGGTCACACACCTAGTAAGTGTCAAGTGCCTAAGGCTGGATTTGAACTCAGGCCTTCCTAACTCCAGGCCCAGTGCTCTATCCACTGCTCTAATCTCCTCTTGTGGCTAAACTTGAGAATGTTGCCTGTAATTAATACCTCCACTTCCTCTCACTCTTTTCCTTGTTTGCTATAGTCTGGCTTCTGACCTCATTCAACTGAAACTTCTCTCTTCAAAGTCACCGGTGATTTCTTAATGGCCAAATCTCATGACTTTTTTTTCGGTCTTCATCCTTCCTGCCCTCTTTCCCCTTTCTGGTGCTGCCCCTCACCCTCTTATCCTTGTTATTCTCTTCTCTCTAGGTTTTCTCGACTGTGCATTGTCTCGGCTCCGCTCCTACCTTCTCAGTGTCTTTTGCTGATTTTACCTCTATCACATCTGTTGCATTTACCCCCTTCTCTCCTGTGCCACTGCCACCACCCCAGCGGAGTAACTCTAGGCTGCAGATAGACTCCCTGCTTCAAGTCCCTCTGCCCTCCAGGCCGTTCTCCACTCAGCTGTCGAGGCCAAAGTGCTCTTCTTCATCTGACCGTGCCATTCTTCTGTTCAGTAAACTCCAGTGGCCCCTTTTGCCTCCAGGATCAAATACAAAATCTGTTTGGCATTCAAAGCCAGATAGTAAAGGACTACCTGGACCCCATTTAACTTTCTGGTCTTTTTATACTTTACTCTCCTCTGTGTAACAGTGACAATGATCCTTGCTGTTTCTCAAATAACATACTCCATGTCTTGACTGCATTTTTAAAAAAAATTTCTTTGTTTTTTAAGGCAATCAGGGTTAAGTGACTTGCTCAGGGTCACACAGCTAGTAAGTGTGTGAGGCCAGATTTGAACTCAGAACCTCCTAATTCCATCCTGACTATGGATTTTCATTGACTCTCCCTATGCTTGGGATTCTTACTCTTCTCATCTCTACCTTCTGGCTTTTCAACTTCTAGCTAAAATCCTATTTTCTTCAAAAAACCTTTCCTGATTGTGCCTTCCTTCTGTTGATTATCTCCAATTTATCCTGTATATATTTTGTTTCTACATAGTTGTTTGCATGTTATCTTCTCATTAGACTGGAGGGTCCTTTAGGGCAGAGACTGTCTTATCTTTCTTGGTATCCCCAGTGCTTAGACATAGAAGAGAAGCTCAGTAAATGCATGCTGACTGAGTGACCATGCCCCTTTCTCCTCTCCTCCACTACCTCTTTGCCAGCCTCCTCACTGGTCAAACAAAAGACCATGTCTTGGAGGAACTTCCATCCCAGATCCCCTCTCTCTTGACTGTTTCATGAAAGTGCCCGGCTGTGCTTCATTTCATCCTCTTCATTGGCTGTCTCACTGTTCCCACTGGCACCAACTGCCTCCCTTTGCACACCAGCATCATACCCTTTCCTTCCCCTTCCAGCCCCAATTTCTAGTTCTGGAACCAGGAACCATGATCAAATCAACTCTGCTATTGTTCTTGGATAGAGAATGTCAATCCAGTGCCCTATTCGTCCCTCACTATCTGTGTAACTATCCAACCCAAAGTGCCTTACCCCTTAATGCTCCTCTAAGCTTTGAGGGTAGGGACTCTCCTCATTTTGTACTTTCATCCCCCAACCTTTAGTACAGTGCTTGGCACAAATGCTTTTTCATTCACTCTCCTGCTTAAGATCTGCTGATTTCTTATTGCTACTACAATAAAATACAAATGTCTCTATTTGGAATTTATAACCTTTCACAAGCTGGCTCCAGTCTGCCTTCCCAGACATTGCTCATTAGTCCCCTTCCTAAACTTTTTATTCCAGGTTTGATCTGATTTCTGTTCCCAGTCTATGACATTTAATTTCCGATCTCTTTAAGGGCACATGATAACTGCTTTCAAGCATTTGAAGAATTGTTATTTGTAAAGTTCTATGTACAACTGAGTTACTACTATAATCATCTATGCCTTGTGTCTGTTTCTGGTGCTCCCTTATTAAGCTGGGAGTTCCCCAAAAGCAGGGACCATGTCCTCTTTACTCAGTTTCTCAAAGGTCCTGGTACAGGGTGGTGTACTTTGTGAGTACTTGATAAGTGTATTTTTGTTGACTGACTAACTTTAGAGTAACAGTCAAACCACAGGTGGCTGCTATTTCCTGTAAGAAACTGTAAGAGTGAGTGTTATATAAACTCACAGCAAATCTACCCTTTTACTTTTGCTAAACCAAAAAGAAATTGAACTGAAGGGAAGAAATGGGAGGGAAGGCCTGGTCTTCTTTACCTTGGCACAGTCTCTACTTCTCAGTCCCACCCTCTCCCACTGTAGGAAGAAGACCTTCTCCTTAGATCCAAAGAATGGCTCATGGAGCAGGTGAGTTTCAAAAGGAGAAAAGGCTTCAAGAAGGGTCTGGATTGTGGGCCACTGATTGAGGAGGGCAAACCTCCTTCCAGTCAGAACCGGAAGGAACCTTAGAGAAGTCTAGTCTAGCCTTTTGTGTGTGTCTATCAACTGAGGAACTGCCTAGCGACTTTCAGAGAGGCTCATTGCCGGAAGTTTGGCTCCTGGATGATTATTTCTTGGCCATCGAATAAATTGTAGTGTGCTTGTGTCCTCTTGTCCATGAACAGATTATTCACATCAGTGGAATCTCGAATCTCTGAACTATGGAAACAAGTAGATGTTTAAACAATTTCTGTTTGAGGCTTGGAGAGGTTAAGGGACTTGCCTAAAGTCTCATAGTAAGGGGCAGAACAGGGATTAAAAAAAAAAACCTAACAGCCCTAGATGCTCTGATTCCCAATCCACTGCTTTTGTCATTCTGACATACTGACCTTTCCACCTTTTTTAATGTGGCTTCTGGGGTCAGAGGAGAGTCCAAGAAGTGACTGACCACTCTGTGAGGTTACCTTTCATTGTACACTAAGTTGGATCTGACCCTGATACAAAAATCATCACATTTGGCTATTTGGTCTTCACTATCTTTAAAGCACAGTTTTAAGAGTTCAGATTCATTTCCAGGCAGAGAAAATGAAATGGTCCAGGTCAGTTAGCAGCCAAAATTCTGCTTTTATTCAATTCCTTAGTTTCTTATTTGCTATGTATTCCATTCTTTAACCACAGAACTACCCTTCAGATAGAACATATCCAATAAATCCTGTCTATTCTGTTCATTTTTGTTTGTTTGCTTGTTTTGGGCTAGGCAATGGGGTTAAAGTGACTTGCCCAGAGTCACACAGCTAGTAAGTATCAAATGTCTGAGGCCGGATTTGAACTCAGGTCCTCCTGACTCCAGGGCCAGTGCTGTATCCACTGTGCCACCTAGCTGCCCCTATTCTGTTCATTTTTAAAAGATTATCTGTTCACACGCATTTCCTGAGCTTCCACTCCAACGCCTTCTAGATTGAGATCGGTCTCTGTGTAACGTCCCCCTCCCACCTCCTTTCCTAATCTTTCTATACTGGGTAAGGTTTGGTCTTGAATCCACCAAGTAGTTTTCAACTCTGTACCCTCAACCCTTCTCTACCTGCACTGGGAATAATCAGATTGGATCTTTGTAGCTTCTTTACCAAGGAGAAAAGGCAAATTTGCAACAAGTGTAGTGGTGCTGTAGTAAGACAGAACCCAGCAAGAAGGAGACCTGTTTGGTAATGGATTGCCCTCCATTGGTGCATGCCTGTTATGTAGTTATCAGTTTGGGGGCATGAGATAGAAATTGTTTAAACGTGTAGTTGTTTCCATGATTCAGACATTCGAGATTCCATCAATGTGAATAATCCCTTCATGACAAGAGGACACAAGCACATTACAATTTATTCGATGGCTTTCATGACTTATGGCCAAGAAATAATCACCCAGTAGTCAAACTTCTGGCAGTGAGCCTCTCTGAAAGTCACCAGGCAGTTCCTCAGTTGATAGACAAATGCAAAATTCATCCCTGAGCCTATATTTCCAGTTTGGTAAGGCTGCCAGGGATTTTGCTCAGCTGGCATAGCCTTAGAGAATCTGGTATACATTGTACCTCAATGAGGCATCACCTAGAGGCAGCTAGATTGTAGAATGGAGAGAGTGTTGGACTTGGAGTCAGGAAGGCCTGAATTCAAATCCTGTCTGAGATCCTCACTAGCTACATGGCCCTGGGAAAGCAGCCTCTGCTTGCCTCAGTTTCTTCATCTGTAAAACAAGGTTAATAATAGCTTCTATCCTATAGGGTTGTTGTAAGAATAAATGAGGTAATCTTTGTAAAGTGCTATATAAATGCTAGCTATTATTAGGAGAATTTTAATGGATGTTCAATCTAGAATTTTAAAAAATTTATTAGAGTTAATTGATTTGTTTTATATATTTTTTAAAATCCAAACCTGTAATTTCATCAGTTGTTAGAACTTCCAGTATGGAAACTCCTTTTACCAATGGAGGTGGCAACCCATGTAATGACTGCAGACCTAATTCTCTGAGGCACTGAAAGATTAAATGACTTGCTAATGGTCACATAGCTAATGTGTGTCAGAAGTGGGACCTGAACCTAGGTCTTCCTGACTCCAATACTGGGCTTCTCTCAAGACCAAGAGCCCTGTCCATGCTTGCCCCTGCTCCTGCCCCTGCCCCCCTGCCACCTTGAAATCTGTCTAAAATGGGGGCTTAGCAGTTAAGTGATATGCCAAGAGTCATAGAGCCAGCAAGAAGGCAAGATCTGCCCCCAGGTCTTTCTGATTACAGGGCTAAAGCACTGGTACTCTAAGCCACGCTGCTTCGTTCCTGCATTTTATGAACATCAGTCACCGGCACCCTAAATATATCTTTTGATCCCATGTACCCTCTCTAGTTCCTGAGAACCTGAGGGGGCATAGGTTTAGACGTGCCCTGTGAGAACTGTACTCTTTAGAGCTGGTAAAAAAAATCTTGCTTTTGGCAGTCTGTCTGAAATCTCTATAAGTCACTAATTCTGGCTTCTGAACATTTCCCAAATCACAGAGGAAAATGTGTGCAGATTACATACACTGGACCTGAAGGGAGATTTATTGATCACTAACCTTCCTAAAACCCTCCTGTTCTCTACTCTCACATTCAGGGTAATAGAGTCTCTCAAAGTTTGGAATCTTGGGGAATCGCTTTGGTCTCTCTTAGGGTATACCCCAGTTCTTTGGACAGGACTAGGAAAGAAACCTCATGAAATTGTCAACATGCAGTGCAGACCCTGAAATATTCTGTTATCTCTTAATTAGAAGATCAGCTAATGGGAGCCTGGTTAATTCTAAGTCCATTGAGGCTGGACTCTCAAGTTTGGCTACAGGGGCCTTCCTCCAAGGAGTTTTGAAGATATGATAAACAAATAGTCCCTTGAAGCCTAGGCTAAGTAACCCTTAATTAAAAAAAAAAAAGGCCTTGGCTTCACAGTAGGATTAATTGCAGTCTAGAAAAAAAGGATAAATCTTACCGTTCCTGGGCAACTTCAGTCTTGGTGTTCTTCTGACAGAGTTCAGTGCCCCTTCCCTGGGGTGGAGGCTGGGACCCCAATGAAGCTGATTTCCGATGCTGTTAGTGAAAAAAGGGAAGTGAGGCCCTTCACAGAATTGTTGAGATGACAGGAAGTTGAGGCCAGAAAGGAGAGGAAGTGACTTTGAATCCACCCACCCTTGGCTATGGAAAGAGTAACATTTCATGGTGACCTTTAAAAATTCTTTTTTTTCCTAAGTCCTCCCTTTCTTCCACATGCACATGTGCACATACACACACACACACACACACACACACACACACACACTGCCATAGAGGATCCCTCTTCAATCATTGGATGACTATGCAGGCTTAGTCTGGTTTCAGGGTATAACAGACCTGAGATTTAGAGTCAGGGGATCTCCTTTTGAATCTGGCACAGACACTTACCAGTGTGATCCCAAGCCAGTTGTTTAATTTCTCTGGGCCTCTGTTTCTTCATCTGCATAGTACGAACAATGCTTGCAGCAGTCATAGGGATATTATAGGAAGAGTTCTTGAACAAGTATTTATTAAGCATGTCTAGTAGGCACTGTGCTAAGTGCTTTGCAAATATCATTTGATCCTCACAACCACCTGGAGGTAGGTGCTATTATTATCCCCATTTTACAGTTGAGGAAACTGAGGCAGATGGAGGTTGAGTGACTTACCTAGGGTCACACAACTAGGAAATGTCTGAGGCTGCATTTGAACTCAGATCTTCCTGACTCTAGACCCAGCACTCCATCCCTGTACCACCTATGCAAATGTACCTTAAAATAACATGTTTTTGTCTGACCCCTCAAGGACTTTCTCACTTGATTACATTCATTGCAGTTTTAGGTTTATTGTTAGTGGTCCTTTGGTTTTTGAAGAGGACCAATGACATCATGAGGGTGATGTCTTGACTTGCCTATCAATTGGATTTAAGTGAGGCAGAGTTTGCACAAAGTTTTTAGCCTCACTCTCTCTTCCATAGTCAATGAAGTCCAGTGACAAGACAAAAGTCAAGGTACATTTCAGGTTTGAGAAAAGAGGGTAAAAAAGCCACTTGGCACATTTAGAGAGTCATTGCTCTCTCCCCTACCAGGACTCTGCCTCTACCAGGCAAGTGACTGATATTCATTAACTGTATGAATCAAAACAGTGTGGGTTAGCTGTGTAATCAGAAAGCCCAAGGTTCAAATCCCACCTCAACCACTTGCTAGTTGTATGATGCCTGGCATGTTACTTGACTTCTAAGCAGGAGTATGCCAGGAGGGCACATTTGCATCACAATTTGTCTGACCTTCCCAGAATCCCTCCAGTTGGGAAAGGCTTTTGAATGGTTTCCAATTTCCAGGACTCTTTAGCTAGCCATCTGTCTCGCTCCAAATTTTTTCTTTCCCAAGGCCAGAAATTAGAAATACTCCTTTGAGTTAAGGCAGTGAAGGCCCCTATTAAAATACTGACAACCATTAACACATTACCTAGGCTTAACCGACCAGAGACATTTGGGAAGCAGACACCTAGAAATTAAAAAAAATAGAATGATGCATTTTAATGTGTAAGTAAATGCCCAAGGAATGGCAGGGTCAGAGTTAGACATGGAAAGGGAGATTGCAGCTTTGTTGTGGAGGGCCATAAGTACTGGGCTGAAGACCCCTACATGAAGGGATCAGGGGATGGAGGATAAATTAGTAAAGGAAATTGAGGACTAGTCAGAGAGTTAGAAGATATAGGAGGAGAACCAAAATAGTATGAAAGGAGACAAAGGAGAAGAGAGGATGTATGGTTATCCAATAGTGTCAAAAGTTGCTAGGAAGTAAATGAAATGCACTAACAAGGGGACGTTGGATTTAGCAACTAAAAGATCACGAGTAAGGGTGAAGTATGCAATTTCAGCTGAGTGGTGGAGATTAAATCAATATTGCAAAAGGTTGAGAAGTGAGTGGCTGGTGAGGAGATGGAAGAAATAGTATGGATGATTCTAGGAATTTTGCAATAAAAGAGAGGAGAGATATAAGACAGTGTGAGAAGATGACAAAGTTAAGGATTTTTTTTAAGGACTGAACATTTTTTGTAGCTAGTTGGGTAAAGAAGAGATTGAAGATAAGAGAGAAAGAGGGAATGATGGATGATGGATGATGGGACAAGCTCCTAGAGCAGACAGAAAAGAATTTGATGGAGGGCACAAGTAAAGAAAATGGAGTGACAAGAAGAGTTCTAAGATAATGGGAACTCTGTTTATTATCAAGTGGAGGGTGGGGCTGAGAGTACAGAGAGCACAGTGAAAGGGGAGGTCAGAGGAAGAAAGGGACTGGGGAGTTATAGGATTGAACTGAAAGGGATAAGAGTGTGAAAGAGGTAGTAGGGGAGAGTTGTTTTTGGTAGAGAAGATGGAGACACTGAATCATAGGGATTAGGGGAGCAGGAAGTGTGAATTTACTAGCCATAGGACTCAGGAAGTTGTTAGGGACTCCGTCTTCTGAGGGTCTGTGATGTCCAAGGGTGGCCTTGCTATAGAGATTCCCTCTTCAAACGTTGGAGAGCTAGGGGTAATGGCAGTGGAGATTTGGGTCAGAAGTCTTTATCCTAGGACTGAAGGCACATTCTAGGCTTGAGGTCCTAGTTTCTGATTCTAGTCCTGGTATGGCATACGAGGCCTTCCGTGGGTAGTATTGGCCTTTGCTTGAAATAACAATCTTTTCAAATCTAGGTGTGGTATATGAGGCCCTGGTTGGGTGGCACTAGGCCTGAAGTCCAAATCATTCTGGCTCCTAAGGCCTGACCCCAGGGTAATATAAGGCCTTTGTCTGAGGTCCCCATCTTTTCAGTTGCAGGCTGGTATCTGACTCTACTCCAGATCTCCTGAATCCAAGTTTTGTACCAGTTCTGTCCATCCTTTGCCTGCCTTACAACTTTACCTAAGGACCAGTGCTACCTAGTGGTTTGATTAGAATCAGGCTGCATCTCAGGCTATGGCATTGGGGCCAGCACTATACTGGGGTATTTAGGGACATTGCCCCATTTGAGGATTCTAAGCTCCTTTTACAATATTCCTTTCTCCTACTCCCTGCTAGTTATTTACTTTGTGTAGTGCTCTATAAATACTTAGGGGTGATTCATCCATCAGGCAAAGGGTTAAACTAAATTATCTGTAAGGTTCTTTCTATGATCTCAGATTCCATGTTTCCATTTTTGGGTTCCATTGGTATAAAACCCCAGCCCTGGGGGACTTGGAGATTGTTGGAGTTGGAAGAGATCTCAGAGGTCATGTAGTTCAGCTTCAATCTGAAAGCATTAACCCCCAACAAGTTATTCAGCTACCCTCAAAGACCTTCAGTAATAAGGAACTCACCACCTCTCAAAGCAGTTCTTCCCATTTTTGGACAGCTAATTATTAAGAAGCTCTTCCTTGTATTGAGCAGAAACTCATTTTTTATAACTTCCCTTATTGATCCTACCTTTTCCTTCTGAGACCAAGCAGAATAAGTATATTCTGTATTACTTGTGAAATCCCGTTAAATACTTGAAGACATAATCATGCTACCTCCCTTAAGTTTTTGCTTCTCCAAGCTAAAGGTCTCTGCTCCCTCCTAAGTCTTCCCCGAGATGCATACTTCTCCCTGTTAAGCTTTTTGTTGAAAAAAAAATATTCCTGATCTGACATCACTATTACTCTTACAGAACATCTTGCAAGCTGTATTTGGTTTGACTGGTATTTGGGTTGCCATGGGTTGGCAGTTTACTAGGTTATTCCACTGATTCGCAGAAGTCTGCTTGGAATAGGTGGACTTTGGAGGAAGGGAGAGAGTGAGGTCATCAGCTAGCATCAGATTTTTAAAGAGAGAGATGGTAGGCTTAGGAGTAGGGAAAGTAGATAGGAAAGAGGAAGAGTGATAAGAAAGGGGAACATGAGGGAGGAAGTGTATGGCTAAGTCTGGAAGACCCATGAGACTATAGTCATGATTCCTGAGAAGCTCAACAGGTTAAGTGTTCTCATTTTCTCCAGAAAATAATCAAGAAAATGATCAGGGTGCAGTGCCAATTACCAAGAATCTTTACTGTTTTAAATACCCATTTCTCCCTGGAAGTCCATACATGGAACATAATTGTTCCCTCTGCAGAACCCAGAGCACTTTGACATGTGAGTTTTACACCAGGACAGGAGGGAAATTTGCTACTGACTGTCAAACAACAACTATAATTGGGGAACCCCAGAGCTTGGGATACCAACATTATTCTCTCAAGATTGAACCACATGTACAAAAATATTTATAGCAACTATTTTTTTTTTTGGTGGCAAAAAATTGGAAATTGAGGGAATGCCAGTCAATTGGGGAATGGCTGAACAAGTAGTGCTATATGAATGTAATGGAATTCTATCATGCTGTAAGAAATGATGAGCAAGCAGACTTCAGAAAAACCTGGAAAGACTTATGCTGAATGACTTATGAAAGAACTGATGCTGAGTGAAGTGAGCAGAACCAGGAGAACATTGTACAGAGTAACAGCAACATTGTGTGGTGACAAACTTTGATAGACTTAGCTCTTCTTATCAATGCAAGGATCAAAGACAACTCCAAAAGATTCATGATGGAAAATGCTATCCACATCCAGAAAAAGAACTGTGGAGTCTGAATGCAGATTGAAGCATACTATTTGCTCTCTCTCTCTCTCTCTCTCTCTCTCTCTCTCTCTCTCTCTCTCTTTTTTGTTTCTTCTTTCATGTGGTTCCTCCCATTGGTTCGAATTCTTCTTTACAACATGACTAATGTGAAAATATGTTTAATATGAATGTATATAGAGAGCCTATATCATATTGCACGCTGTCTTGGGGTAGAAGGGAGGGAAAGTAGGGGGAGAAAATTTGGAACTCAAAATCTTATGGAAGTGAATGTTGCAAACTAAAAATTAATTAGTTAATTAAAAATAAATAAAAATGGATGTAGATTCAGTCAAAAGCCATTTCAGCATCTATTAGTATAACCATATAGCTTTATTACTTGTATTAACAAAGTTTATTATATTTATAGTTTTTCTTTTGTTGAATCAGCCCTGCATTCTTAATATAAATCCAATGTAAACAGGGTATATAATCTTTCTAATCTTTTGTTGTAGCCTGCTTGCTAATAT